CTCTAATGCACACTGATTAACAAAGTGTTAGATATCTGTTTAGTATCCAGCGACAGCAAAAACAATCTATTTTCCAAAGATTGCTGTTACAACTACAAAATAGCGAAGGGGATTGCCTGGGTACATGCTTAATATCTAAACGCAGCAAAACCACTCTACTTGGCAAATTTTCTGCTATAAAAATGTGCACAGTAGTGAAGGCGGTCATCTAAATTTGAGTTACCTAAATGCAGCAGAGTTTTGTGCATTTAGCCATTTTGATTATGTTTGGTTAGTTCTAATATCATCCTATCCCTGAGCATTAGACGCATTTTTGTTATTTTGGCTGTATTATGGTGCTGTCCATATGCTTTCTTGTGCTAATAATTCTCGTTGAATAAAGATGTTAGCTGTTGCTTAGTCTCTCGTTAAGAAAATGTACCATATGGATTAAATTGTCTTCCCTTTCTGATGTATCTGTCACCATGATCTTAGGCTGTTGATATTCAGCTTGGGCTTGCAATTGACAGTACTAAAGCAACACTGGCTGTCAAAAGAAGGCTTGCATGCGAGATGGTAAAATACTGGCAGCAGGTACTGAATCCTTTTGCCAAAGCATGCTCGACTGCTCTAATTTAAAAAAAGGGTTATATGAATCCTTTATACAATTCGGCTATATTCTAGTCCATTTCATTCCAGTGCTAATTAAATCAGGGGTTCTTTGACTCTCGCACTTATTCCTACACAGGTAACTAGTTTGGTCCCAACTAGTTGGCATTGCCTATATGTATCATTTGCTTCAATTGGAGTAATTGGACCTTTTAAACTCCTTCCCCTAACATAACCACGGAGAGGGGAAAAGAAAGCTCTGTGTTATTCCATTTTATAGAATATTTTCTTTTTGTCGCCAGATAGTGTCTGAGATATCAACTACTTTGCTTTGTTGTTACCTTACAGGCTCAAGATAACATCATGAACCTTCCGTTATCAAATGGTTGGGGAGAAAAGCATAGGCTTTTCGTGAAGTGGAAATATATTGAAGCCAAGGTATCTTGTGATTCTCTTTCTTTTATTTACTTCTTTAATTCCTAGATTTTAGTATATATGTCAACAACAAGAGTTAAAAAAATTATAGACCAAAGTGTTCCTTGATTTTACTTACTGATGAGTGAAAGACTTCCTTGACACAAAGCTTGTCCTCTATAATGTACAACTTTTTCTGAGTAATTCATGCAAGGATGACATCTGAGCACACTTTATTCTGGTTTGATGACATATGTAACTTAGTCGAAGCAACATGCAGTTGGATTTGGCAATTGGTGTGCAGAGCATAAAGATTAGAATGCTTAGTCTAGCAATTGTCATTCAGGGATATGGGATAGCTTTGTGTCCTATGTATGTTAACAAGCAGGTGCCAATATAGAATAAGGAACTCTCACAGCACCTTATTTTATCTGAGTGTCGTTAGCTTATGAATTAAACCAACTAGTTTGGGACTGAGGTGTAGTTAACTGACTTTACCAACCGTCATGGTGTCATTAGCGTATGAGTTTATATCAAAATGATCGGCTTTGTCTATTCATTAGCAAATGTGCTATATTTGTCGCGGATAAAGCACACAGGACCCCTAAACCAAAAATAAAACACTGGAAAATGACCTACAGCTGAATTGGGGTCGGATGGGATTGTGAAAATAGTGGTGCAGATGTCATGCAATCCATCCAAAATTCATGCCATAAACTTATTTGTCGTTCCTTTTCGTTCAACAATGCTGGCCTGGGTCCTTTGAGTGCTTATTTAACCAGCTTGTCCAAATAGTACTCTCAATTCCATTGTTTTCATCCTATGTTGAAAATGGACTTTTCTGTAGTTTTTTATCTCTCTCAATATCCTGATGCTTCGGAAGTGGCTGATTTTATAACCTTGCTGAATGCTCTTAGAATTTGACATATGGTGTTAGGGATCTGAAACTCGTATTTTATTGTTCTTCTTGTGAATAACCTGATAGATAATTGATAGTGTACATCTTGCTGGCTACCTCGATTTGTAAGTAAAAGTCTCCTTTAAACTGACAATTTATGCGTTTTTTGCTCTTCGAAGACTAAATGCTTATAATTTTCTTCAATTTAAGCAACCTAAAAATCCCTCTTAATTATTTCATGGAATGAGTATTTATAGCATAAAACAACTGTTTTGTTGTACTGGAGAACCCTGCATCTTCCATCAGCAAAATTCTTTAGGTGATATCTTTCAATAGTCACCGTTGGTGATACAAGAAAAGTTGTCGAAGTGAAAACTCCTCATATTGTAACTCCATAGTCCATGTACTTAAGGACCTTCATGCTGGTCTCTGGAAAGCTTCTGCAGCTTCTTTGCCATCTTTTAAGTCTATTGCATTTTTCTCCCCTCAAGCTTACGCATGACACATAAAATTCTGTGTAGGCTTCAGCATACTATTATCATGGTCTAATCCTTGATGAAGGAAACACAGAAAAATCTCATGGAATGGCTGTAGCTGCCCTGCAAGCAGCAGATGAATATCTAAAAGAAAGTAAGAAGGCGTGCGAAGCTTTCAACGCAGCCATTCCTCTCTCCAGGTAAACTTTGCACGATCCATTTTTCATTTTCTCCCTTTAATTACTCTTCAACTCCCTGTACTTCCTATATTCCTTATTTTTCTTGCTATGCAGTGAAAGAATTTATTTTGGAAAGAAGTGGAGAAAACTACTTGTAGCTTTGGTAGAATTAATTATGAAACCAAATCTATATAGAGACCTGAGCTATTAAGAACATTGGGAAACTATTTATACGTTTAATTCTTCTTTAGCTATCAATTTTGATTATAAAATAACCCTTTCAATCGGATAGCTTAGTGCAGAGTTTCAGTTATGGCTTTCATCTAGTGACTCTCAGAAGATAGAAGAAATCTTTAGTTTAGCTTCAACTATAGGACTTCCAACAGGTGTCCTGCAATTGGTCTTGTTATTCATTGGTTTTTTGACTGATTATATCTCTTTCTTATCCTTTAGTGTTTCCAAATCCATCTTATCAGGAAACATCTTTGAGCTACACCGTTTTCAACAAACCTCTGAAATATTACTTCAGATGGCATTCAGATGTCCTTGAATGTGGTTTCTCAACATAATACCGTATCTGAAGCTAGTGCTAAATTTCGCTCTGTGCATGAAGCACTGTATAATGAAGAGTTCACTTTTAGCCCTAAATTTAAGATTTACCATGTATGATCATACTAACTTGTAGAACTGTGTCTAGTGCTTAAAATTCATCAGACTGGGAAACGTCATATTTTCATTTGGAGCCTCTTTTGTGGTTGTAGTATGTCATCAATCATCATAACATATTTTTTTCACCCTACCTTATCCTGTCTCTTCTGCCTGCCTGACTTCCATTTGCCAATCCAGAAATCCTCCACTCTGGGGGACGATGAAGTATCTCGCCGAGAAAATTCCAAAGGACACTTCGAGCAAGGTGCGAATCAACAGGGACTTGTACTCTTATGAAAAGTAAGTTCTCTTTTTTTTTTTTTTTGACCTCAAAGATATGATGATACTTGGCTGCAGAATTGCTTATCTGATGTAGATTGCTAAATTTTGATATTGGTTTTGAGAGATGGCATGCATTCCTTATATAGGAGTATATTTTTTGAATTTGGCTTGATATATTAGAAGATAGCTTCTTGACTTTGATGAGGTATAATATTGTAATAGCAGAATGAGAGCTTTGTTCTGCACC